AGCTGCGGCCTCACCAGTGCCCAGTGCAGGGGGAAGAGAACTTCCCTGGTCCTACTAGCCACACTGGTGCTGATCCAGGCCAGGATGCCCTTGTCCTTCTTGGCCACCTGGGCACTCTGCTGACTCCTGTTCAGCTGCTGTTGACTGGCTAAAAAATGCCACATGGACCACCATTCCCAGGGGATGCAGAGGGATGGGATGTCCCCAGCCCAGGTGAACATACCCAAGAGCGTGGAGGCAGCATCCACCCCTCCATTGTACACCCGGCGTTTGTCCATGGGGGGGTAGATCTCGTTCCAGAGGATGTGCACGTAGTACAGCATCAGGTAGTAACCAGCCGAGTTGAAGATCCACCACAAGGACCAGAGCCGGAGCTGGGGTTGCTTGGCCAACACTCCCATCTCCCGCAGCATCCGGCACAGCACCGCATCCCGCCAGCCCCGCGTCCCCCCACTGTCATCCCCCCCGGTTTTTTCTTGTCCAACTCGGTGTGCTCAGCCCTTTCACCAGCTCCCTTGGGCCGGTTGAAGAAGAGGCTGCGCCGGGGCCGCTCGAGGAAGAGAGTGAGGATGAGGCCGAAGGTGACAAAGCCCAACGAGACATAGTTGAGGGTGAGGAAGGAGACACCACCTAAGGTGACGCAGAGCTGGCCCAGCACCGAGCTGGTGAAGACACCCAGGAGGACAGCGGAGCGGGAGTAGCTGGCCATACGCTGGTAGCGGGATGGGGCGACCAGGGAGAAGATGTAGGAGGAGTAGGCAATGCGGGCGGCCATGGTGATGCCATAGAAGAACTCCATCAGCTGCATGGCCAAGATGGAGGTGCCCAACACCAGCAGCAACCAGATGGAGATGTGGCTCAGGCTCTGCAGCACCAGCACCGGTTTGTACCGCAGATAGTCCGTCAGCAGGCAAGATGGGCACCAGCACGGCCATGTAGGAGTAGGTCAACACCGGTGTGATCACATTGGTCACCTGCCACGCGTGCAAGGAGGGACTGAGCACTGGATGTGTCCCCAGGGGACAGCCCCCAGCACAGGGGAGTGGGCAC